AACAAAGGTGTAAAATGAATTTAAATTGACTCAACTTACAGTAGTATGTGAGGATGTTGCTAATTGTTGTTTACGTATAGGATGAGGGAAACGTCCAGTAACATGGTGAGAGCTGAATAGATTGCACAATAGTCAAAATTTATACAAAACATGACAAGAACAAGTTAAAAACAGATTAAAAATTATTTTAAAAATTAGAGCATTACATCGTGAAACCACCTGATGATTGCACAAATTAGTGGTCATGGAATGATGAATTGATGAGTGACATGAAACCCTTTGACAGAAGGCCGAAGGATGTCAATGTCAGTATTGAAAGATGGAACGAATTGTGGGCGTGTGCCAAAACGTTGCCAAATCACTTCAGATGATGAGATTTTCAGAATTTTATGTTAGAATTTGTTAAACCGACCAGAGGCAGTTGAATAAACTATATTATTATTAATGGGAATTTAAATTAACAATTATTAATAAATCGTGAGGAGAGAATTATTATATTTTGAGTGGAATGAAATTTACTGGTGGAAACGGCCAAAACACAGATTCTAATTATGGTTGTGAAGAGTTGAAATTTGGGGAGATATGTAAGTTCTCCAATTTTTCGCAGTTTAGCAAATATGAGTAAATGACACTCAGTTGTTTAACATCTGTCTTTTTGTTGATACAGTTGTTATTCATGAAAATGTGGGACATTTCCAGGAATAAACGTTTGGAAAGGTGTTTTTCTTTATCAAGAACTTTGATACTTGTGTAATTCATAGAATGCCCTGTTGTGTTAACATGATTAGAATCTGTGTTTTGGCCGTTTCCACCAGTAAATTTCGTTCCACTCAAAATATAATAATTCTCTCCTCACGATTTATTAATAATTGTTAATTTAAATTCCCATTAATAATAATATAGTTTATTCAACTGCCTCTGGTCGGTTTAACAAATTCTAACATAAAATTCTGAAAATCTCATCATCTGAAGTGATTTGGCAACGTTTTGGCACACGCCCACAATTCGTTCCATCTTTCAATACTGACATTGACATCCTTCGGCCTTCTGTCAAAGGGTTTCATGTCACTCATCAATTCATCATTCCATGACCACTAATTTGTGCAATCATCAGGTGGTTTCACGATGTAATGCTCTAATTTTTAAAATAATTTTTAATCTGTTTTTAACTTGTTCTTGTCATGTTTTGTATAAATTTTGACTATTGTGCAATCTATTCAGCTCTCACCATGTTACTGGACGTTTCCCTCATCCTATACGTAAACAACAATTAGCAACATCCTCACATACTACTGTAAGTTGAGTCAATTTAAATTCATTTTACACCTTTGTTGCTACTGTTATCATTGTAATTGCAGCTCCTGATGATGATGGCAAAGTCCATTGAAAGCTAGAGAGAATTAAAAAAAGTATAAAGAGTCCTCTTTGCTTAAATCTTGTCGAAGTACCCAACAAAAAGCGGAAGCTTTAATTTTTCACCTAACTGGTCTAGACGACAATGACCACGTCTCAAGTTATACTCGTATATATATATACGAGTACGTTATCCGTCAATTTTTGGAAACTTTGTTCAAAACAAAAAAAAACGCCTAGGTTGATCAAAGTGAAATTTCACAGGGTTATCGTGAGTGTAAAAAGCTGTAAAAGAAATTTGGCACTTGGTGTCCCAAAAAATCCTTTTTTCCTGTTCCTCCAGCCCATATCTCTTGGATCCTCAATAAGGTAGTTTTTTACCGAGAGCAGTTTAAACAATCATTAAAAATTTACAATTTTTATTTGATCCCTTAATTTTTTCCATTAGTGTGTTCTAGCAAATGCAACAAGATTACTCTGGGACTGGAGTGTATCTTAAAGTTGTGGTTTTTAAACACCAGACTAGAGATGTTAAATGACTACAAAAATAGAAATAAGAAGTAGGAAGTATCATATATGCGTTACACTTGGCAAAGCATCAATATCTGTGTGTACCACATTTATTTGTAGTTGCCTCAGAAATAGAAAAATAATTTGTTCCAATATTCGTCCAGTAACAAATTTAGTAATAATTTCCACTGTAGTTAGTTACAGGCGGTTTCAGGCACGTGGGTTTGCGACTACATCCAACTATAGTTTAAAATGGCATTGAAATTTTTGTCAGACACACTAACAACTCTCAAGATGACATCATACACCATTATTGATATTGATTGATTCACGACGTTTCGATTGATGTGATCTTCAATCAGTTTATGACGATTGAAGATCATATTATCAATCGAAACGTCTTGAAACAGAAAATCTTTATAGACAATGGAAGTCCGAGAAACAACATCTCAATCATCCACATTGACCTCAAATTTCAAACAACATACACCATTATATCAATATTGTTTCAAAGAAATTGTATGTATATTATGGATTCTGTGAAAGGAATAACTATGATACGCGTAGATACTTGTATAGGTAGGGGAGATACGAAATGGAAATGACATTTGACGTGATGAAGCATTTCAATGTAAAAGTTGTCATGTTAGCATACTCAGTATATCTTTGAATGCAATTTAGTATGTTTGCACATTGTTTTGATCTTAACACCGCTAAGCACAAAAAATACAGTGCCACTCAAGCTGACAACTTACCATATTTTTCGTTATAACAATAATAAACGTCAAGTCTTGCAACAAACAGAGACGAAATTCATTATCAATATAACGTACATTCATAAAAGTTGCCTAAACATATTGACTTTCTAATTCCTTTTCCGTAAAATTTGCATCAAACATACACTAACCTTTCACCTTCAGAGTAAAAAAACAACCCGGAACGATGTTCTGCTACCCTCTCGATCTCAGGTATTTTCTTCTCCCCTTTGCATCTGCCCAAAGTTTGCTCCGATTTATGAGAAGATACAATTCGGATAGTTTTATGCTACAGGAAATCTAGTCTCAGTTTTGAATTGCTTGCAAGATGAACAATTTTGCTTTATTGTATTCAGTATGCAATTAGGGACTCACTGGAAGTTTTGAAATTCAGATAGTATTCTTGATTTGTTTTATACTGAAGCAGAAACCTAATTACTGGTGCTTCTATAAGGTACTTAAAGATGCTTTATTAATCCGATTTATGCACTGTCTAAGGTTAGCAGAACCGCGAAAAAGCTCATCCCACAATCCCATTATTCCACAATCCTTACATTCTACGAAGATACGGGTGGTCGTACCGACCAGTTATGGATGTACAGAGTTCGATAGAGCTGGGATGGGAGGCAAAAGCCTGACGGGTTTGTCTGACAGGCTGAACGCGCAGCGGTATCATGGAGGAGAGCTGTTAGGAACAGAGACAGTTGACAAAGCGGTAGAAATGAGCAAGATCGTCAACCGCCTGGAAAGGGTCTCGTCTATTAGACAGTCATTGATCAGTCTGACAGTCATCCTCAAAAATGTGAATGGTAGCTCTTATCTAGGCTTTGTGAAGAGCGAGAAAGGTACTTCTTAGCCCTAAACAGATAGCTCAGCCTTTTCCAAGCAGCTGTCGCTACTGACCAGACGTGTTCATGCCAGGTCAAGTCCTCGGTGATCTGGACTCCGACCAGCCGAAATGAATGTCTCTTTAAGAGAACTCAGTCATCCATCGACACCGGATGAGCGCTAGGGCGCTTCTTGTTAGTCAAAGTACAGTACTGTGTTTTAGAAGCATTAACCATGCCAGATTGTTATGTTTCCAAGCAGTGATAACCTTCAGGTGTCTCGTCAGAGAGGAAGTCGCTGCTAGTCTTCTTTTTTCCATGTCGGCTTGTCACTCTGGATTCCTGCATGTACGATGTTGTTAGCAGCAAAGTTGTGGATCGGTTTGATCGTACAGGAAAGGAGGTCGGTGGTATGTAGCAGAAACAATATCGGAGCCAAGACCGATCTCTGGAGAACACCCGCGTTGACGTCATGAGATGAAGAGAAGAACCCACCTTTTAGCTGTATGACATATATCTTGTGGTCAGACATCAGCGTCTATGGGAGCAACGACCCGAGCCTACTATATGACTGGAACGCTGGAGACTGAAATTGTACTTCATGTCGCTAATCAAGTCGTGACTTTCAAGGTGCTTCAGAAACTCCCGATTTATGCACCTCTCCGTCACCTTACTTATAACAGGAAACACAGTTATAGGGTCTGCCTCAGAACCCTTTTTGGGATTTTCCGGGGACATGCCGTATTCGTAAGATATCTGGAAGAGACGCGACGAAACTGGAGCAAGCTCCGCTGCACATCTCTTCGGTACAACAGCAAGAGTCAAGTCCGGTCCAGAGGCTTTGTTGGTATCGAGTGATGGTCCCGCATAGTGAATCTACGGCACTCCGGGCGTTGGGGGGGGGGGGGGACATCCCCGGTGCAGTTGGCAAAAAAACTTTGGCAAGCCGGTTACAATCGTTCCATCCTGGTATGTTACGTAACCGGTGGAAGGCTACTCTTTGAGAAACTCCCTTCAATCTGCTTGGCCGACGTCCAGGAAGACCGACTGTCATTACGCTGCGTCATAACTCTGTGCCTAATTTTTCTTTTTAGTATTCTGACTGAACTATATCAGTGTATATGTATCAGCTCAGGGTAGCAAGAAGAATTCCCGCCCTATTTTATGAGAAGGTATCCCATAGGTAGGGCGGCACCTCCTTCCTGTAACCTACCCCTCCATTTCACACTCGACTTACATAATTGAACGATTGTTGCTTGCACCAGCGTGCCGCAATCTCATTCTTTTCTTCTTCTTGCACCATTGTATTTACAGAATTCGGAAGGAAGCCTCCCATCTGACAGTTATTGGAAGTTATTGTAGGGCTGTGCACTTTCTATCCACGAATATTTCAACTTATAAATAGGTCGGAGAATAGACGATGTGAAAATACGGCCTAGGAATGAATTCACATGTACGTATGTGAGACGTTTCAATTGCTGCTTGATACTATTAGAGTGAATTTATTGTATTAGGGGTGGGAAAAGTTGGATTCATTAGAGTTATTCTTTTATAGGAGAGGCGTAGCTAGGGAATGATATATGGAAGATCTCAAAGACGATTGCATACGGATTGTCAGTTCGACTGTCCCTTAATTGATTGGTAAAAGAATTAGAGTCTATAAGGAAAGTGTTTGGCCTTGAAAATAACTAAGGTTTTAATTTGATCACATCTATGAAATCTGTGAATTCAGTTATTTTAGAATATAAGCATTTTGAATTTTCATCACCATTTTTTTATTTTAGTACTTCATTGCGTGTACGTCCGTTCAAGATACAATTAAGATTATAAAAAAAACGAAATCTATGTTGTGACAATATCGACAAAATCAAGATGAAGCTCATTGAATGTAACTAGAAGTATGGTTGTATATAATTGCTTTATTGGCAATGTGAATAAAAGTATTAACGAAATTGCACCTTTAGAACAACAAAGTTCTATTTACAAGTCATGGATTGATGAAAATGTCAAACGAGCACAAAGGGAAAGAGATGTACAATACCAAAAGGGAGGGATGTCTTCGGAAAATATAAAGAAAAACGTAACAAAGATAATCTTATAAGATCAAAACAAAAGTAGTATTATGAAGAAAAGATTGACAGATGCACAGGAGACAGCAAACAAATGTGGAGAAGCTTGAAAGATCTCGTTAATAACAAACATGTACACATTGATTATATGTCTTTGGAAATTAATCTCTGTGACACTATAGAGAATAAATTATTTTATCAAGAGTGTATCTAGTAAACACCATACCTTCAAGTAATGAGAAAGCTGTCACGGCAGCAGTGCCTTTAGAAGAGGAACTTTGGAGGTTTCAAGAAATTTCACTGAATAGGCTACGCAAAACTGTTTTTCAATTGAAGAAAAAATCTACGGGTGATGAAGCTCTTACATGCAGTTTGGTGAAGCAACTGTTTGATGTCATTTGCTACCCTTTGGAATATCAAATACATAGCTCATAGCAGGAAAGACGCCTTCTTTGTTGAACAGGAGTATTATAGTCCCAGTACTCAAAACAAACAATCCACGTAAGCAAGAAGACTTGCGACCCAACAATCTTATGCCAGTCGTCGAGAAAATTATAGAAATAACAGTGCATGAACAGCTGTGTGAGCATCTAAATGTGAACGGTGTTCTTTTTGAGAGGCAGTCCAGGTTTAGAAGGAATCATTCTTGTGAAACTGCATGCCAATTTATGTGTACAAAGTGGAAAAAAATATGTAGATGATGGTAAAGTGATTGTGTGTGTGTCTGTTGACGTAAAAAGAGCGTTTGAAACTATTGACAGGAAATTGTTGAGAAAATGTGAAATGTATGGAATTAGGGATACAATACAGCCCTCGTGCGGGTGGGTGATTATTTATCTCAGCGGTTACAAGTGGTAAAACTTGAAAGTAAGATATCAAGTAATGTTTCAATCATGGAGTACCTCAAGGCTGCGTACTAGGCCCACTGCTGTTTATTCTCTGAGCCGTATTCATAAAAGAAAGGATATCCTTGTACTTGCATTATGTAATACTAATCAAATAACACCTCATATGTCTAAATCTATCACGCAGCGTAGCCTAGAGCCAGTGAACTAAAAGTTTTGTCTACATACATCCATACCCACACGCGAAAAACATATCCTCCCTTCTGTGGCAGTCGGGTGAAAATTGCACAACTGTCACTTTCGGCACTTTCCTTCTTTTTCTTACGACTAGCAAAAACTTATTTCGTATGTATATACATTGCTTATAATGTTAACGCATAAAACGAATTAAAAAAACTGACTTTATGATATTTTGGAAAAAAATCATTTTGAAAAATCTGGATGTGATAGAAAAATCGGCCACCGGGAACAGATTCAAAACATCAAAATCTTCATATCTATGACATAATTATTTGAAGAAAGATTTTGTTCCATACCAGTGATTTTTAATTTGTATCAGCAAGCAGTAAAATACGACTCGTCAGTTCAAAGTAATGTTGGATCGAAACTGGGGAAAGGCCAATGTTCGGTTAATCTAGGAAGCCAATAGAATGAAAATGAAATTGTATAGGACAAAAATCTGATTTCAACACGATTTAAACCGCAGCTCTTTCACATCCAATCTGATAGGTCGCAAAAATAACCCCTACAAAATAAAAGAGAAATGGAGAGCATAAAAAACCGACGGGCACACGCTTTGGGCCGGCCGCTGTCTAGTCCCAGCTTTCAAGCTTTGCTTTCCGACCAGCTGAACTAGTTATTCACGTTTCACGTAATCGTTACAAATGCGCATTGTTGTTTCCTCATTGTTGCCTTCGGAAGGTACCTTTTTCGATGTTGGTAGGCCCTTGACGACCGCCGTAGGGCCGCAACCTTCAACGCAGTGGCGTACAGACAACAGGATTGCGACGGTTTAAATCAAATGATTTCAATCTATCAATTTATAATCTAGTCCTGAACAAGTACCTACTAGCAGTACTGGTACTGGCGCTATCACCATTGGCAGTATCTAATATAACTGCTGAACATACATCCGTACAACAATTCCTTGTAATTCGAATTTGCATTTTTTACAGCTCTTAATGCTTCCGTTATTTCGTTTGAAATAGATTCTTTTTTTCTACCACCACACCGGGACATTTCAGATATCTTTTGAAAACACACTACGATTTAAACAAGAAAGGATAGGAGATAGGAGCACTCAATTTATTAACTTACGAACGTTTTTTCGTTTGAATTATATTCTTTTTTTCTACCACCACACCGGGACATTTCAGATATCTTTTGAAAACACACTACGATTTAAACAAGAAAGGATAGGAGATAGGAACACCCAATGTATTAACTTACGAACGTAGGGGTCGGCTATAAGTTAAGAAATCATCCATCTCGAGGCAACCGCTCAGTATGAAGCCGAATGAATTTTCTTCTCTGACATGTCAACACAAGTTTTTTTGTATGTTGCCTAGGAGATTTTCTTACTATAGACCTAGACAACAAATATTTTTGGGCAAATAGAGAAAATCAGCTATTTAAAAATTCAGTATTGCCATATTTAAGGAAAAAATCAGTACAAATTGCAAAAAATATCAGGGTTGTTATGTTTTATTCAAAATGTTTAAAAAAAGTGTTTCAACACTGTTTAAAACAATGAAGGTGTCTTAAACCAGTTGGTTTTAAACTGTTTAAAACATGTTTTAAACACTGTTTTTTGCCGTTTGGGAATTATTCGAGTTTTTTTATATTTCTTCAAGTATCATCAAAATTGATTTTATTTTGCAAAACGAAACTAAAAGGCCCATAGGTTAAAACACATAGGTACTGAAACGTATACTTTATTTTTTATTAATTGATCAAACATGAAACTAGGGAACTAATACTAGTAAAAAAATCTGTTTCTTAAGGAACGAGTGAACTTAATAAACTGCATTGAACTCTAATACTAGTACACTATAAGCAGCAGAATAATCATATAATGTGACTATATATTTACTTGTATAATATCAAAGAAGATACTTAACAAATTTCTACAACCCATCTTATTAAACAAAAAATCAAAAACCTTAAATCCCTTTTAAAATATAAAATCATAGAAAATGTACTTAGACTAAATTTTTCTTTTACACTACTTTTTACGAAACTCCAAGTAAAACAATGTACCTTTTTCACAATTCTCGAAGCAACTTTGCGAAGATAGGTTCGGTAGAAACATCATCATTGTCGGTATCAGAACTATCTGATATATAATAATAATAATATAATAATAATAATAATATGAATATTTTGTTTTTCTAATAAACTTCTTTGTTTAAGTTGTTTACAATTTTTAATATGTTTGCGCATTCTAGCCACCAGTGGCATTATATCCATATTGCAGGTTAAACATTTTACTCTTTTATTTATTTTCGAGCCAGCTTTGGCATCAGTCTCCTTAAAATATTTCCACACAGGATCCTTTCTCTTCCCTGTCATCGCCTTTCTTTTTTGCCGATCTTTAATGCACAAAAAACAAAACACACCACCACGCTAGGACTTCGCACATTTGACTGCTGGAGTGCTGGAGATCCCAACGAGAAAAATTATCCAAAGGCAAACGGTGCCTCCCCGACGTCCGCACGGTAGTTTCCCAACGTCCGCTTTCAAAAATAGTAATAACACTTTCAAGGAACTTCATTAACGTGCTGGATTATATAGGCACTGGTTTTTATTTATTTTTTTTACTGTTTTAAACATGTATTAACAGTGTCTTAAACATGTTTTTTTTTTCAGCCAAATTTGAATGTTTTAAACACAAAAACAGTTTTAAACAAAAAAACATGATTTTTTTATAACGTTTTTTTTCAATCCTGATAAAATATACATAAATCACGTTTTAATCGAAAAAATCAGATTTTTTGATTTATTCAAAAGAATTGTCGACATGTATATCACGAAAAATCATGCCATCCATTTCTACTGATCTCCTATCTATCGTCTGTCGCTCTATATGTCTGCCTGTATTTCTCATCTGTCGGCCTGTCTGTCTTCTGTCGGTTTTCCCCTCTGTCATCTGTCTGTCTGTATGTCTGTCATCTGTCTTTCTGTTTGTCTGACATCTGTGTGTTTGTCTGACTGGCATATGTCTGTCTGTTTGTCTGTCATCTGTCTGCCTGTCATATGTCAGTCTGTCTGCCTGTCATATATCAGTCTGTCTGTCATCTGTGGGTCTGTCTGTCTGTTCATCCGCCAATAAATGTGACCCCTCTATAACTCGGAAATTATGGCACAGATTTTGTTGAAATTTTGACACAAGGTCTCGATGGTGCCAAGGATCAAAAGCTTGGAAGGTTTTGAGAATCGATTCAGTGGCGGCGTAGCTACCTACGGTCAAAGAAACGCAAACATACTTTGTTTTTTGAGTCCTGCTCATTCCTGGACATTTTGTTGAGGGGTGAATAATTGGGGCTAAAGTGTTGTAGGGAAATCACATCCTCCTTTGTTTACCGAGCGGTCGAATACGATTATTGGATTCCCAATCCAGTATTTCGAAAACTAGATAGTTGATTGCTTTTTAACGT